AAAAAACAGTACTGAAAGTTACTCAGTCAGGTATAGTCTACTCAGATCATTTCAAGAACTTGCCAATCCGCTTTAAACAACTTATTGAGATTCTGCTTTGAAATAAGGATGAAGCTCTGACCATATCTTTTAAATATGTCATTTCATTGTGCACATGAACAAGAAACCGCCACCAAGTAGGACTCATTTCCAGCCACTGTTACATGCTGATTTCTTCCACTTTTTTTTCAAAATAAAACCAACTTATGTAAAAGCAGTGATGCTGAGTATGTTAAGGGAATAGCAACATGAGTGAGTTTGTGAAAACTTGTGGTTACCTGTTGAAACCATGTAAAAAGAAGGCTGACTATTCCTTCAAGAAGTAAGGGCTAGTGGTGTAAAATATACAATAGGTTAATTATTATTTGAAAGCAAAAGTGCTTTAAAGCAAAACACAGCGTGAGTTATTTTTTTTCCACAAATGCTTAAAATAATTAATTTGACCCTATACATTATTCTTGAATTGTATTTATGTAGTGGTTGTAAATTTGAAAAATTATTTTCAGTTAGAGAAGTAATGCATGAACACATGTACCTTGTAAACATAGATGTAAGCCAAATTCAATTTAACTGTCATCTCAAAATAATTGTTAGGTATTTGTTGTGAATGATTCTAGATTTCTCATATGTCTATGTATCCATATAAAATATATGGTTTAGTAGATTCTTATGGACAGCAGCTCATGTATTGGCCCAGCGTATGTGCACAAAGAAACTACTGTGCATCTTTCTCTGTCCCCTATGCTGGAGATACAGTAGGAAATGGACAGACACAAATCTTTCCTGTAGCTTACGTGCTAGTGGAAAAAAGACAATCAAAGACTTCGTAGAAGATGTGCAATCTAAGGAGTAAGAATAAAGCTGAGAAGAGCGAGTGGATGCTGCAATGAGTTGAAGAAAGCTATGTGGTTAGCGAGCAAAACCTGGCAGACTAGCACACTGGATGGATTAACCAAACAGCTGAATAAGACTGTTCTCAAACTGTCATTGATCAAGTAGTGAATTGGATGCAAGTATTAATCCTGCCTGACTCACATCTCAACCAGTACCACCCATAAATTGTCTTCCAGCCCTGAAATTTCTTCTGGACAGCCTGCTTCTGGGTAGCATCATGTCTTTCCTCTCAGGATTAGAATTGATAGTAAACACTGTATAAAGTCAAATATTTCTTCACTTGATTCCAGTTCTTCTTCTTCTCATTTTCTTCCTATCCCTTCCTCCTTTCTCTTTCTCCTTTTCTTTCCAAGATGCAGTTAGAAACTAGCATCCAAAAGTGCTGTGCTATTTAAGGGTCATTTGGCCGACAGTTTGGGTAAGAAAGATTCTGATCAGAATCCGGGAAGCAGTCAGCTTGTTTTTCCTTCATCTACTGGGTGAATTATAAACATAAAAAAAGACACTAACTACAAGAAGCAATCTGCTCAGAGTAATAAAGGAATATATAAATGCCTTTGATCAAAGCTCAAACTGTGATGTATAGTCTATGCCTTTCAAGTTGTTATCTGAATAAAAGGACTTTAGATAGTTACATTAAAAGATATAGATCGAGTTAAATGCAGTGGAAAGTACAGAGCATAGCAAGGCCTGGGTGCTGGTCTCAGCAAAGTGGCCTTTCTACCGAAACTAAATATTAACTACACCTAATATTTTGATCATTATGCTGATCTCTAAAACTCTATTTCCTCATATTTAAAATGAGGTCATTAACTGTTCACCCTGCCGACTTCCCTTTTTCTGCATAGTTGTTATTAGGGTTAAATCAAATAAAGCAAAAATCTCTGAATAGTTGAAACACATTCTTTATAAGAGTCATTACTTATGAAATATTAAAAATCCCACTGCCTCACATAAGGACTCCAAACCCCCAATTATGTAAAGAATAAATAACACATATGGATTGATAAACAAATGCTACAGCGTCACAGGTCAGATGTCTCTAGCCTCATCTGAAACAGAATGAATTGCTGGTGTTCAACACCATTTATGCAATTGCTACAAAGTATAGAAGTGTGAAAACTATGGATTTAGAATCCTGTGCTGGTGACTCAGAGGCTGTACTGAACAGGGTCTGATTAATATCAAGTAGAGATGAAGAAATCTCATAAGATCTTCAAGACCCATCAGAGTAATGATAAAAGGATCAAAGTTTTAGTTAAGAGAATTGAATTTTTAGCTAATACTCTATATAGGTTCACACAGCAAAAGATGACTCCAATCAATTCTATATTCTAGCATTACTTTAAAAATAGGGAAAAGTATAACTATTAATTAATGCTAACCATTCAGAGCCAAACGATGAACAATGACTGCTTAATAGAAACATATATTGTAACCCTTAGCAATTTGGGAATCATGCTACAGATATAATAACCATCCATTAGGACCTTATTGTTGTTTCAGACAGTGCCTATTTAATCCTTGTCCTGATTAACCACCAGGAAGAGAGTGATAGCAACTGTTCCTACAACTATCAACACATTTCAAAAAAATGTTTTGTTTTTGAAACTAAGGAGGCTGGCTTCCCAGGTCAAGAATAAATGAACACACACACACACACACACACACACACACACACACACACACACACGGTGCCAAAAAAATGTATATACATTTTAAGAAAGGAAAAAACTATTAAAACTACAATAATATATACCGATAACAAAAGATGAATACAAGTCACATTTGACTTCTGCAACTACAATAGGTGCTCATAGTGGTTACCATCAGCGTCCAGTCACTTCTGATTACAGCAAGCTACTGCTTGAGCAACGTTGACCAAAGTGTCCACTTGTACACATATTTTTGGCACCTCCGGTAAATATATATAGATTTTGCTCTCTAGTATAAAGGTGAATTATGAATAAGCTTAATTTTTGTGAGGTGAATGATTTGTCTTATATGATAAAGTACACAACATGCTACATTTTAGAGAAGCTGAAGAAAGCAGTCTTTTCTAACTATTCATTAAAGCAGTCTTTTGCTATTCAACGTAAGCACACATGCTCAGCAAATGGATACATTTCTTTTTCTTTTTTTCTCCCCGTCTTTTTAGGCTCCTATTTTAGGGAGTAGGGGAAAAGTAGTAGTACAATGAAATGGGGGCTCTTTCCTTTTTTTTTTTTTTTTAAATTTTGATGCATGATTTCAAATCCCAAAGTGTGTTTCAATTTCATGCCATCCTCAGTTGCAATTATCCTAGCACACGCAGAAATGTGGAAGGAATGATGACTGCCCGCCAGTTTGTCCGCCAGTCTCCCTGCACATTCGACCTGATGCACCACACAGGTGTATCAGAACTGACGGCTAGCAGGTATCGTGGTAACCGCCAGTCACTTAGTGGAATCATTATTCCAGACTCCCTCACCTTTTATCTAGAACTCAAGTTTCTTTCTCAATATTAATTTTTATAAAATATTCTTATATGCGAGTATTCTCTAAAGAAAAAATACAAGAAAACCTTAGTGTTACTTATTTATGAACCACGGCCTCCAAATGCTTAACAATGTCAGCAATGATTCAGTTGAAATGACTTGTTACCTACAAGCTTGAAAAACAATTCTATATGTGGCCCCCACATCTTATGTCATTGACTTCAGAGTCATTAGCTGACATCACTCTGTGTTAGTAATTCCTCCTTCCTGCCTCGTTTTTTATCCAATCTTTTGGCACATCCATGCATCCATGACTACTACAGATTGTGTAAGCTGCCTCCTTCAGACTGTTATTTAAAGTTCAACTCCATTATTAGTTTAAAAAAAAAGGGGGAAAAAGATGGGGTGGCACAGACAATTAAATCATTATTCATCAATGCTAAAATTCTAGGTTCTGAGTTCCCTGTCATAGAGGAATGAGTGTGCTAGTGCCAAGCCAGTATTCTCTACCTGTTTGCATTGACTGAGCCACCTTCAGAAACATTCAGCAACTCGGAGCCTTCTGTTCCTGTCATTTCTGAAGTAAATACCTTGGTTTTGGTCTCATCAATGATCACATATTTTCACTTGTAGGTGCTCTCCCTACCATTTGTTTAAAATGAGATTTATATCTGCTTCCCACCAATTGTTATGTTTTGCCAAAGCTCTTTGCCCACCACGCTCTTTGCCACCGAAGCACTTTCGGTTGTTTTATAGCTAGCAACTTCCAATAATTCCTGGACTTCATTCTGTTTCCCATTATTGCTCCAATATTACCTTTCCAATTGCTTTTAAGTTTCAGACCTCCTCTCCCTAACACTAGTCATGAATGGCATACTGACACTGTGTAAGGTATTAAACAAAATCTAGAGCTGCGCCCTACTGGCTCTGGGGAGCACTTCCTGTGCTGTTTATTCTGTCTCGTTACTTCCTTCTTTTGGAAGTCCAGGTATTCCTTCAGTGGGACCCTGGGCTCTGCCAACCAAAGAGACCACAGGACATAAGTAAATGTTTCCAATCATGATGATTTTGCCATTACATGAGGTTGAAAGGACAGTGACATTTTCAGTGTGTGGCAGGCGAGAGGCAGGGCCAAGAGAAGCAGACAAAAGGAGCCTCAATAGGACTTGACAAGCCTGGGAAGTATGGAGCTAAAGAACACTTGTGAGATGCCACCTAGGAATCAATAAAATCAATGCGCAGGCCTCACAGTTTGTTTTTTTTGGCGTTTGCTACCTTTTAGATCCTTCAAAAAGCTTTCCTGACAACGTTTAAATCTGCGACATGGGCCAGCTGAGTGGGGCTTCACGAATGCACTCCTTGTCAGTACAGGAAAAGGAGCCCCTTGGCTTCCCTCAGTGTTTGCTGTGTGTTGCTAAAACTGGGGAATCAGACTGATGCGTTTCCAGGGAATACACTTAGTGTCTCGCCTTGCCAAACACATCAAAGCAATTTGTTTTTGCCAGTGAGAGTCTGGTGGCTCCCCACAATGACTCAGCTCACTTATTTAAAATCCTAAACTGGTATGTTAGTAGCTTGTAGGTCACTAACCTGCCAGCCTTGTAATTTACACTGCTGGAGAACAAGTCGACATTTCTCCTCAGCAGACAATTTCTTCTTCTCGCCAGGGAGTGTATCCGCCAATGGCTTATACCTGCGAAGAGCAGCAGGGACATGAAAGCGATGACTGAACTCATCAAGCAAATGATTATATTCAACAGAGTTGTCTTTATTATACGGTTTCTCAAATTTTCCTCCATTCTTAATTTATGCCATGAGTCCCCCCAATACTCCATCCATTGTGCATTTAACAGCCAACTGAAATAACACAACTTTTGCATGAAAAATGATTTTTTAAAATGAGTCAAATATACTTTTCAATCCTTTAATGTATGTTTATCATGGAGCGATGCAAACCATTTATCAAACAAAATGTTAAAAAGGAAGAAAATTAATATATTAGCTTATATTTAAATATTTAGAATGCTCTTAAAAATACACCTTTTAAAAAAATTCCAGAGCATTCTTTATTCTTTGAGAGTGAATCTAGATGTAATTGGAATCTATAATAAAGGAATATCAAAACATCCAGAATTCTTATTTAAGTGAGAGGCAGAGTAGCTTCCTCCCCATATATTAGATAACTGAGGATTTTAAATCTTCTAGAAGCACACTTTATTTTGTTTTGGAAAGTTCCTTCAAATTATTATATTTTATTCTCTAGATAAAATTCATGGCAATATAGTTCTCTATAGGTTTTTTTTTTTTTTAAAATCTTTCAAGATTACCTCACCCTTTAAAAAAATCTATTTAAAATTTCCCTTTGCACTTAAAGCATTGACACTAACATGTACGTAATACTGCGTTAGGAGGAGGAGGCGGAGGAGGAGGAAGAGGAGGAGGAGAGGGAGAAGAAACAAGCACAGTCTGTGCAATCACATCCCGCTCATTATGGTTATGATTCTCATGTTGGGCTGCTCTGGGAATTCAATGCCAAAAGCTAAATCACCTGAGTTTTCTGTGGAATACCTTAGTGTTTTATCTAAAGTTTGCTGCAGCAAATTCAGCACCTTCTAAGATTGAGTGTTTTGTTTCCTTAGGGCAACTAAGAAAGGAAGTAGATTGCCTAAACATCTTTATTTACCACCCTTCCTCCACGCAAGCACTGAGGGTGTTGGGCCAGTCCCACTGGCAAGCCACATCAGATTTATACACACTTCTTTATTTCTGCAAGCACTGCAGAGATCAGGCGCACAGCATATGGGCCATGCCGCAGTAATTATGGGTCTTCCATATAATGCAGGCTGAGAAAATATACCTATTTGACTTTTTTCAGTAACAGACATTTATCTCCTTTCTTATATCCTTAACATTGCCATGAAAACTCAGTACAGATGCTCCTCGACTGACTGATGAAGTTATGTTCCAATAAACCCATTGTAAATTGAAAATGTCTTAAGTCAAAAATTCACTTAATACACCTAACCTACAAAACATCATAGCTTAACCTAGCCTACCTTGAACGTGCTCAGAACTTACATTAGCTTACAGATGTGCAAAATCATCTAACATAATGAATCTATAGTAGGGTACCAGTTGTTTACCCTCGTGATGGTGTGGCTGACTGGGGGCTGTGGCTCTTTGTTGCTGCCCAGCAACACACGCGAAGTATCGGGCATATCGATAGCCTGGGACAAGATCACAATTCAGATCCTGAAGTTCAATTTCTACTGAATGTGTCTTGCTTTGGCACCATTGTCAGGTTGGAAAAGCTGAACCATCGTTAAGTTGGGGACCATCTGGATATTGTTTCTCCTGGATTGAGAATTGTCATAATCTTCCCAACCATGAGTCAGACAACATAAATATATCAACATCAGTAACAACCTTTCCTTCTCATGTATAGATTTTTGCTCATGTGTCAAACTCAGGGTACAAGAGAGTTTAAAAATAGCAAGTAACAGAGACTGCACACAAAATTGTAGCGCCAGAGGCAAGGATATAAAAATCCTGCTCATCATTTTGATCACACAGAATGGACTGAAATGATCTGTGGATGACAGAAGTATTCAGTGTTTGCTTCTTTTTTTCTTTTTTAATCAGAGGCAAGAATGTGGTTTCCTACCCAGCAGGCACTGAAGTATGTAAATTTTTACTGGCCATATTACAGTTGCTTCAAAAGAAGAAGATGCATTTCAAGGGTAGAAGAGAACAGAGCAAATGGGTCTAATGGAATATGTGTGTGCGGAGGGTTAGGGGCTGGGAAGAAAGTGTGCAGAGGGATGGATGCCTGAAAGCTTATGGGCATCCCCAGAAGAGGCTGGTGCACAACCTCAGTGCTTCAGTGAGCAAATTTGGGTTTTGTTTTATGATGTTTGAGTGATTCAAAGGTGACACATGATATAATTGTATAATGTATTAGAACAGGAGTGAAACTGGATTGGGGATCTAAACACAGCTTCGGTTTCCAACTGTGCAGCTAATTTGCTATGAGGCCCTTGGCAAGCCACTCGGCAAGTAATTCTCCCCTCTCGGTATTGCATGTTTCTCAGGATGTGACACAAATTCTACATTGTATTACAAACACTAGTTTAACTGTGATCTGTCCGCAAACTATGTGAGCTTCCCTGGGGCATGGGGTCGTCTTTGTACTTTCCATGGGGTCTGCTAGATTGCTTTGTATGGAGCCAAGTACAAACAAATAATGGGAGGCCAAGAAAATGGGCAGGGGGGTTGGGGGATGGGAGGTAACATTGCCTGCACTCTGAGGAGTACAAGGAGCTTTTCATATGTCATTTTGCATACTTCTCATAGCTGTAGGAGGTCTGTATGATCATCTTTTGCTATTGAGAAAGTTGATCGTCACAGAAACTAAGTCACTGTCCAAGTTCACAAAGATGGTGTATGGGTTGAATTGTGTCCTCTCTAAAAGATAAGTGAATGTGACCTTATTTGGACTTTGAGTCTTTGCAGATATAATTAAGCTAAGATGAGGTCATTAAGGGTGAGCCCTTATTCAATATGACTGGTGTACTTATAAGAAGAGGGAAATGGCATGTGATGGCAGAGGCAGAGATTGGAGTTACGCAGCTGCAGGATAAGGGCACCAAGGATTTCAGGCCACTACCAGAAGATAGAAGAGTTGAGGAAGGATTCCATCTGGATTCTCAGAAGCACATGGCCCTGCTGACACATTGATTTTGGACTTCCAGCCTTTAGAACTGTGAGAGATAAGTTTCTGCTCTTTTAAGCCACCTAGTTTGTGATACTTGTTAGGGCGGTCGTAGGATGCTTCTCAGATGGTAAAAGTGGCTGAGCTATAGTCTGAACCCAGGGCAATCTGACTCGAGAGTCAATCTTTCCATCACCATTGCTACAGTCTAGGTAGAACCTAACAAGCCCCCAGCATCTGATGGTTCTATGAGGTTGTTGGAAAAGTCATGATGTATTTTTTCTATGTTTTTCGTTGCAAAAATGCATCATGACTTTTCCGACAACCCAATAGAATGGAAAAGGAAGAGACTGAGTATCAAAGACTGAAAAGGTAAAATCCAACAGTAATCATCAGTACATCGGACATGCAGAGTTAAGCATCTGTTGCTCTCTGACCTCTGGGCCTCTTCTATAACAGCAAACTAGAACTCATAATGAAATACAGACTCATTCAACACTCAGGAAAATCAGTGCATTTCTACCTTTTAGCCAGAGTTACACAATGAAATGAAATCACTCAAATTATTTTTTTATTCTCCTATAATTGTCTCATTCTGGAACTTTGTTAATTATCACTGAGAATTGAATTGACATAATTCAAGTATCTGAATACAATATTAACAAGTCAGAATAAAATTCTTACACTTGGTGCCTTTTTCTCATTTTATATTGTTCTTTTGACACCTAAAATGGTATAATTCTGACATTTCAACTGAAAAGACAAAAACGTCACCTTAGACAGGGTAAGGTATTCTATTTTTGTGTAATTAAAAACATCTTGTCTTTTGGAATGTGAGTGTCATCTATAGGTGGTGTCACTGGTCTATTGCCATGCTTAAATATGCATGATCTCACAGAAACTTCAATCTGAGGCCAAATGGTAATAAATAGCGAGGAGCACTACATGGGTCCTGGGTGCAGGTGTGGTCAGAGATGGCACTTCTCAGCTCTCATCCCCTCCCGCAGCCTCTTTTGCCCCACATGAGGTCACCTTAATCCACTGAAGACCCCTGTATTCAGGCTTATACCTGCCCTGAGTGTGAGATAAACTAACTGACTAAGAAATAAATATGAGCTCTTCCAGCTAACCCACTCTTGTCTCATCCTGGCTTGGGATAAGGGTAATGATTAGAATCTAGTTCCATGTCCAGAACTGAGGTTCTGTTGCTCATTCATTGGAGCTCAATCCATCAACCAATATTGACTGAGCACAAAATATGTACTGTGATAGCAGCAGGGAACAGAACAGACTTACATCCTCTGATGGAGACTGAATAGAAATGTAAATGAGAAAGGATGTCAGGTACAATGAGAAATGGAGAAAAATAAAGCAGGAAAGGTTCACTGTGAGCAAATGCGTGAGGGTAAAAAAGGAAACAGTGGCACTTTCTGGGAATAGCCGCGTTGAAGGAACAACAGGTCCAGAAGCCGTGAGTAGGGTGGTGCCTGCATGTTCAAGGGGGCTGGTGTGGTTGGAGCAGAGCAGGTGAGAGGCAAGGTAGAGGAGAAGGATTCCCAAAGATAACCACAACGGGAAGGAAGCGGATCATGCCGGTGACTCTAAGAACTTTGGCTTTGACTCTGAGAGTCCTGGGGAGCGAGGGTTTGAGCAGACGAGTCCTCTCACTTGACATTAAAAGAATCACTGACGCTGCTAAGCTGAGACTGGGCAGCAGCAGAGCAAGCAGGGAGCCAGGGAGCCTATCTGGAGGCTCTCCCCATGGCCCAGGATGGGAGCAAGGGAGTGGCAGGAAATGGTTGAACTCTGTCCACATGTGGAGGCAGACCTAATAGAGTTTCCATGGATTGATGTGGATGTGAAGGGGAGAGAGGATGACTCCAAGGTGTTTGACCTAAGAGACTGGAGAATGAAGTTGACATTTACTACGATGGAACAGAGTGGGTAGAGTTCTTCTTTTCCTGGACAAATGCTGCATAAACAGACGGGAAATAGTGCAACCAAGGATAACCAAAAGGAGGAATTCGGGTGGAGCTCCACAGGGAGGTATGGACAAAATGTCAGCCAACATGCCTGAACCAGATTTAATCCCTCTTTGGTTGACAATTACTCATCTGTGTCAGTTTCTTCTCTGCCATGACCTTCTGCCTGACTAAACAGAACAGTACTGACTGACCATTTAGGAAACTGGGTCTACTTCCATTATGGCGCTGAATATTTGGTGCTCTCTTGGGGTTGAAACCTAAAGCTGTGTTCCAAGTTCCATTTGCCTCACTTTTCTTGTGAATGTGTCTTTGATGACTTTCAACTTCCCCTTCTTCTTGCCAGTCTTCATCCTAAGTTTCTAATATATAAGTATAGGGCTCCATGACAAGTTCTATCACAGTTACTGAAAAATTGTTTAACATGCGCACTATTCATTAAATACTTTCTCTACAACAAGGATTCAAGTACGAAAATTCTCCTTAATACACTCTCAGTATCGGGAGTATAACGACATAAAATAATAACAGACATCATGATGCCTTACAAAATTATAAGTGAAAGAATTCCATCATAGGTCGTATTCATTTTGTGGTCTCTGTATTCCAAGAGGGATAGACTGAAGTTGAAGAAGTAGAGAAAAGCAAACAACAGTTGACAACTGTAATGTAGGAACTTAGGAAAGTGATGAATTAATATTTCTCTTTTCAAAAGTGATTGTTTCTTTGTTTTAAGAAGAACTTTGACATCCTATCCCTCGTGGACCTAAAGATAAAAAAAGCATATACAGCGACCGTACAAGTCAGGTTAAGCTTGGTAGTGACTCATAAGTGACTATCTGAAGAAATCTGCCATGAAATAGTTGAAGCATTTCCTTAGAAAAATACAAGGTCTGTGTATCAAGCTAATGCTTAAAAAAACCTCAACTCAGATGCAGTTTCTCTATAATTGTCTCTGTTTGTTGAGTATTGACTTCATTTCTTCATTCTCAAAGAAAATTCTGTTGTGAAAATGTCAGTCTGACATCCCTTAAAATTTAATTGTATTCAATATGTATTTACTGAGCACCTATCAGGAGCAAGGTACTCTGACAAGAAATGTATAAATTACCAAGATGTATAAAGCAATGTTCTAATTTCACTGCATATGCTCAAATATAAAGCATGACATTTATTTTTTTTTGGCCAAAACTGTATGTCAGAAAAGTTTTCTTATTTCAAGACCTTGTGAAACTTTCTTATCATGGACATATTTTAATTACTTAGTTGGGAAGAACAAGAAAATGTTTGAGGAGAAAGATTAACCTCCTCATCCCTCAGGATGGACTGGATAATCCACAGAAAGAGGAAAATGATGTTGTAGGAACTTTCTATTGATAGAGAAAGATAGCTCGTTAAGGGCAGAGCGGGGAGGCATACATAGGACAGGAAAGCAGGACTGAGACTGTGCCATTGAAAAGTGGCTGAGGGAAACTTTGGTACATCTACACAATGGAGTA